CGCCCCCCCCCGCCCCGCGCCGCTGCCGCGGGGCGGCCGGACAACGCCGGGCTCCCCAAAAAACGGGAGGGAAGGGGGTGGCGGGGCAGGAGGGAGGGAGGGAGGGAGGTATGGATGGATGGATGGATGGAAGGACGGATGGAGGCTCACCTGGGTGTGGATGATCTTGTGCCGGCAGAGCGTGCTCGCCTGTCTGAAGCCCTTCCCGCAAACTTTGCAAACAAAGGGTCTGGCTCCCGTGTGCACCGGCATATGGCGAGTTAAGTTATAATGTGCATTAAATACCTTGGGAGTGAAATCAGACAATAAACAAGAAAAATAATAATAATTGCGATTAGAAGGCGAGAGCGCCGAGGGGAAGCCGTCGTTTAAAAATAAAGCAAGCAAGCGCCCGACAACCCGGCGGACAGACGGACGGGGGTAGGAGGCTGGGGAAGCAGGGGGAAGGGAGGCAGGCTGCGGCTCTACTTGCCTTTCCACAAACTTCACACGTGAAAACTTTGGGCTTGCTGCTCGGGGAGCCGCGGCTGAACTCCGAGGTCTTGTAGGCGATTTTTTCCGAGAGGATCTGAGCGCTTTCTTTCATGTAGTGCTGCAGCTGAGCCTGCGACAAGTCCTTGAAGGCGACCCCCGCCGGGTACTTGTCCACGGCCGGCAGCACCAGCTTGTTGCGCTCCGCCAGGTAAGCCTTGGGCTGCGGGTGCAAGGGGGAGCTGAGGAAATAAGAAGCCACCGGGTGGATGTTGACACTGGAGGACGGGTGACAAGGGCTGTCGCCTCGGTTGAAATAGCACAGGGCTCCCATGGCGTGGAAGGAGGAGTGATTGACCACTCGGGGTCTTACCAGTTTGTACTGCTGCAAGGGCAGGGCATCGCGGGGGAAATCTCCTTTCAAGCTCAGGGCACAGTTCAAGAGATCGCCGCAGCTAAAGGAGGGCGAGGAAGAGGAGTCTAAATGAGCCTTCCTGGGTTCCGCTCCGGCCACCGCCGCTTTGGGCAGGGGGTCGTACGCCACCGGGACAAAGGGGATCATGCAGGGGATGGAGGAGTTGAGGTGCAGCGGGTGCTTGGGGTCGCCTTTGGCCACGGAGCCGTGGAGGAGCTGCGGGACGGGGATGGAGCGGGGCTCTGGCGTCCGCGCCATGATGCGCTCAATGGAGAAGGCGAGGGGCTTGGGCGTGCTGATCATGTTGCTCCTGGCAGACAGGCTTTCTCTGGCCGGAGGAGTCGCTAGGATTTTGGTCGCCGTGTGGTGGCCACTATTGTCCATGGCTGGATTGCATTTGTTCGGTTCCCCTGCTTTGATCCTTGTGGTTACGCCCCTTTTTTTTTTTTTTTTTTTTTTTTTTTTTTCTTTTTCCTTCCCCTCCTCTCCCCTCTCTCTCTCTCTTTCACTCTCTCTGCCCCTTTTCTTGTCACTGATCTGCACGGAGGGAGACGAGCATCGCCGCCGCCACCGTCACCAGAGCCTCCGCCGGCGGAACCAGCCGTCTCAGTCCAGTGGACTCATGCCAGCCCATCACAGTTTACTTTGGCGCACCAATGACTCGGGACAATCGCTACTTATTTCTATCAATAGCAAGTGTTGTGTCAATAACGCAGCCAAGATCTCGCCAATCGTTAACTTCCAAGAGGAGAAGGTAAACTAGATAATTGCTCAATTCGCTTCCAACAGTCAACAGGAAAAGTTTTTCCCCCCCAGCAAGCGGCTACTTTTCATTGGCGCCGCGCCTCCCCCGCCCAGGGGAGGAGGCGTCTCCCCCTCCTCCTTCCCTCTCTCCCCTCGGCCTCCCTCTCGCTCTCTCTCTTTTTTATTATTATTATTTGCAATCTGCTTAACCAGGCTTTAGAGGCCAAGCAAATCCGAGATCAATTTTCTTGTTTGCCTTTAAGTGACATCATCTAAAATCATTGTCCAAGTGCTAAATAGGGATGTGAAACCCAATTCAAGGGCAAGCGCCGGGGTATTTGTCAAACGAGGTGCTGCGGCAGAAGCGGCTGGAGGGGAAGCTGTTTGTTTCCTTGCCACTTTCCAGCCCGAGCTCTCTCTGTGCGGGGGGGTGCGTGTGTGTCGGAGGGAGGGAGGGAGGGAGATGGCTGCTCTGCTCCTGGGACTGCTCCGGGTCTGCTCCCTGCTTTTAAGAGCAAGGTCAGGCGGCGGTGAGCTTTTGGAAAACCCAGGAAACAAATGAGCGGGGAACTTGCGACAGGCAGACGGCGAGAGCCACGCGTGGGGATGCGGGATCCACCCGGGCCAAATCCAACCAGTGCTTGTGAGCAAAAGGATGAATCAAAACCCGGGGCCGGGGAAGAGAAGGAAAAGGAGGTAGGAAGGAGGAGTGCCTTTTAAATCTGAAGCACTGTTTAGATAGATAGATAGATAGATAGAGAGACAGATAGATAGATAGACAGATATAAAGTAACCTGCATATACACTAAGTATAACTTCTCTTCTTAAATAATACATGCCCGACACAAATACCGAAAACTCAGGATCGGTATAGATACCCGAAAAAGTACACAGCAGACACACCGCCTGTAGGTATATGTGCACCTAAGCTGACGCGCTCCCCAGGCACGGAGGCGAAGCCTGGCAGCCCTGTGCCGGGGGGGCTCCAGCGCCCCGGGTGCCCGTACTGACAGCGAGGTCAGGGGAGAGGAGAGGGGCGGAGGAGAGTGGGTGAGGGGCTTTCTGTATGCACCCCTGCCCCACCGCCCGACGGTTCGGGGTCAGAGCAAGCTCCCATTCCTCCCGCCGGCCCGGGGTTCACTTGGCTGGTGACTGGGAGGCCGTTGCCGAAATCGCCGGGAGCAGCCAAGGGTCCCTCCGTGCCCGCCTCCCCCCGCCCCGGCAGCGGGCCGCCGGCGGGGGGCGCGGGGGAG